AGAGAGAGATTTCAATCCTAAACTACGGCAATCTTGAACTGGCTTCGTTTTGTTTGTCGATCTTCGATTCCTAAAAGTTAGAAATAACAAGCAGTCCAAGAGAATCAGTAGTGTTTGTCAATCATCAAAACATAAGTCATGAAAATAGATTTGCAACAAAAAAAAGATGGCTGGTTAAAAAAAATGGTTCAACACTAGGACTTCCCAGGAGGTCACCAATCTCAGTACTACTCTCGCCCAAGCAGGCTTAACTGCGGACATCTGATAGGATATGGTGCACTAGTGCTGGTATGGTCACACCCGTAGTAATATGCTCTCAAATTATTCTTAAGCTGACACCGTGGAGAGATGATTTTGATGCATCTTCATTCCGATAGACCATAGGGGATCAAATTGCATTGTTTGGCTACGCATGTCTAGCCGATGGGTCTATGATGCATTGACGCTCTGTCCGGCTCGGAATAAGCATTCCGAAATGGGGTCATAATACCGAATTAGAATCTTGGGCGGAAAGTTATTGATGTTCCCCCACAGTCGCCACATAGGACCCGCCGGATGCCTTCACGGGTCCCACAATGCTGGTTTTATCTCTCGATGTGCGACAAACCAACACGGCCAAGGGTTCGTAGGCCGTGGCGAAGAGCTAGAAAAAAAAAGATATGACTGGTTAAAAAAAAAGGGTGCAACACGAGAACTTTTTAGGAGGTCACCCATCCCAGTACTACTCTCGCCCAAGCACGCTTAACTGCGGAGTTCTTATGGGATACGGAGCACTAGTGCTGGTATGGTTGCACCGGTAGTGATATGGCCTCAAATTATACTTAAGCTGACATCATGGAGAGATGATTTTGTCGCATCATCATTCCGACAGACCGTAGGGGATCAAAAAAACTTTTTTAGGCTGCGCATGGCCGACCGATGGGCTTATGGCGCATCGGTGCTCCGTCCGGCTCGGAATAAGCTTTCAGGAATTGGGTCATAATGCCGAATCAGAATCCTGGGCGAAAAGTTAATTATGTTCCTGCGTGGTCGCAACATAGGACCCGCCGGATGCCTTCATGGGTCCCATGATGCTGGTTTCACCGCTTGATGCGTGGCGAGCCAACACCGCTAAGGGTTCGTAGGCCGTGGCGAAGAGCAGAAAAAAAAAAAGAGATGGCTGGTTAAAAAAAAGGGTGCAACACGAGGACTTCCCAAGAGGTCACCCATCCCAGTACTACTATCGCCCAAGCACTCATAACTATAGAGTTCTTATGGGATCCGGTGCACTAGTGCTGGTATGGTTGCACTCATAGTAATATGGTCTCAAATTATTCTTAAGCTGATACGGTGGAGAGATGATTTTGACGCACCTTCATTCCGACAGGCTGTAGGGGATCAAAAATGCATTTTTTGGTTGCGCATGGCCGGCCGATGGGCCTACGACGCATTGGAGCTCCGTTTGGCTCGGAATAAGCTTTCTAAAATGGGGTCATAATGCCGAATTAGAATCCTGGGCGGAATGTTATTGATATTCCTGCGCGGTCACCACATAGGACACGCCGGATGCCTTCATGAGTACCACAATGCGGGTTTCATCGCTCGAAGCGCGGTGAGCCAACACCGCCAAGGGTTCGTAGGCCGTGGGGAAGAGCTTGAAACAAAAAAGAGATGGCTTGTTAAAAAAAAGGGTGCAACACAAGGACTTCCCAGGAGGTCACCCATCCCAGTACTACTCTCGCCCAAGCACGCCTAACTGCGGAGTTCTGATGAGATCCAGTGCACTAGTGCTGGTATGGTTGCACCCATAGTAATATGGTCTCAAATTATTCTTAAACTGACACCGTGGAGAGATGATTTTGAAGCATCTTCATTCTGACAGGCCGTATGAGATCAAAAATGCATTTTTTTGCTGCGCATGGTCGGCCAAGGGGCCTACGGTGCATCGGTGCTCCGTCCGACTCAGAATAAGCTTTCCGGAATGGGGTCGTAATGCTGAATCAGAATCCTGGGTTGAATGTTATTGATGTTCCCACGCGGTCGCCACATAAGACGCACCTGATGCCTTCACGGGTCCCACGATGGGGGTTTCATCGCTCGATGCATGGCGAGCCATCACCGCCAAGGGTTCGTAGGCCGTGGCGAAGAGCTAGAAAAAAAAAAAAAGAGATGGCTGGTTAAAAAAAAGGTACAACACGATGACTTCCAAGGAGGTCACCCATCCTAGTACAACTCTCGCCCAAGCACGCTTGACTGCAGAGATCTGATGGGATCCGGTGCACTAGTGCAGGTATGGTCACACCCGTAGTAATATGATCTCAAATTATTCTTAAGCTGACGCCGTGAAGAGATGATTTTTATTCATCTTCATTCCGACAGACCGTAGGGGATCAAAAATGATTTTTTGGCTGCGCATGGCCGGCCGATGGGCCCATGGCGCATCGGCGGTCCTTCCGGCTTGGATTAAGCTTTCCAAAATGGGGTCATAATGCTGAATTAGAATCCTGGGCGGAACGTTATTGATATTCCAGCGCGGTCGCCACATAGGACCTGCCGGATGCCTTCACGGGTCCCACAATGCGGGTTTCATCGCTTGATGCACGGCGAGCCAACACAGCCAAGGGTTTGTAGGCCATGGTGAAGAGCTAGAAAAAAAGGAGATAGCTGCTTAAAAAAAGGTGCAACACGAGGACTTCCCAAGAGGTCACCCATCCTAGTACTACCTCGCCCAAGCACGCCTAACTGTGGAGTTCTGATGGGATCTGATGCACTAGTGCTGGTATGGTCGCACCCATAGTAATATGGTCTCAAATTATTCTTAAGCTGATGCCGTGGAGAGATGATTTTGACGCATCTTCATTCCGATAGACTGCAGGGTATGAAAAATGCATTTTTTGGCTGCGCATGGCCGGCCGATGGGCCTATGGTGCATCGGCGCTCCGTCCGGATCGAAATAAGCTTTCCGGAATGGAGTCATAATGTCGAATCGAAACCCTGGGCGGAAAGTTATTGATGTTCCTACATGGTCTCCACATAGGACCCGCCGGATGCCTTCACGGGTCCCACGATGCTGGTTTCATCGCTCCATGCGCGGCTAGCCGACACCGCCAGGGGTTTGTAGGCCGTGGCAAAGAGCTAGAAAAAAAAGGGATGGCTGGTTAAAAAAAGGGTGCAACATGAGGACTTCCCAGGAGGTCACCCATCCCAGTACTACTCTCACCCAAGCACGCTTAACTGCTGAGCTATGATGGGATCCAATGCACTAGTGTTGGTATGGTCGTACCCATTGTAATATGGTCTCAAATTATTCATATGTTGTCTTAGTGGAGAGAAGATTTAGATGCATCTTCATTCTGACAGACCATAGGGGATCAAAAATGCATTTTTTTACTGCGCCTGACCAGTCAATGGGCCTATGGAAAATCAGCACTCTATCTAGCTGAGAAAAAGCTTTCTAAAATGGGGTCAAAATGCCGAATCAGACTTATGGGCGAAAAGTTATTGATGTTCCCGCACGGTCGCCAGATAGGGCCGGCTGGATGCCTTTAAGGATCACACGAAGCAGGTTTCATCGCTCGATGCATGGTGAGCCAACACCGCCAATGGTTCGTAGGTTGTGGCCAAGAGCTAGAAAAAAAAAGAGATATGGTCGAACCCGTAGTAATATGGTCTCAAATGTTTCTTAAGTAGACATTGTTGGAGAGATGTTTTTTACACATCTTTATTCCGACAGACTGTAGGGGATAAAAAATGCATTTTTTTGTTGCGTAAGCTTGGTAGATGGGCTGTTGCCACATAGACACTCCATCCAGCTCAGAAAAAGATTTCCAGAATGGGGTCATAATACAAAATCGGACTTTTGGCCGGAAAGTTATTGATGTTTCCGCGCGGTCACCTCCTACGACCCCCCGGATGCCTTCACAGGTCTCACGATGTGGGTTTCATCACTCGATGTATGGTGGGCCAACAACGCTGGTATGATCGCACCCATAGCAATATGGTCTCAAATTATTCTTAAGTTGATGCCGTATAGAAAAGATTTTGACGCATTTTCATTTCGACAGATCGTAGGGGATCAAAAATGCATTTTTTGGCTACACATGATCGGCCGATGGGCCTATAGCAAATTAGCGCTCCATCCGGCTTGGAAAAAGCTTCCCAGAATAGGGTCTTAATGCCGAATCAAACTCCTGGGTGGAAAGTTATTGATATTCATACGCAGTCGCCACATAGGACCCACAAGATCTTTTCACGGGTCCCACAATGCGGGTTTCATCGCTGGATGCTCAGCGAACCAACACCGCCAGTGATTCGTATGCCGTGGCGAAGAGCTAGAAAAAAAAGAGATGGTTGGTTAAAAAAATGGGTGCAACATGAAGACTTCTCAGGAGGTCACCTATCCTTGTACTACTCTCGTCCAAGCAAGCTTAACTACGGAGTTCTGATGGGATTCGATGCACTAGTGCTGGTATGGTCGCACCCTTAGTAATATGGTTTCAAATTTTAATTTAAGTAGATGCCGATGGAGAGATGATTTTTATGCATCTTCATTCTGACAGACCGTAAAGAATAAAAAATGTATTTTTTGGCTGCACAAGCCCTACCGATGGGCTGTTGGCACATCGGCGCTCCATCTGGCTCGAAAAAGGCTTTCCGGAATGGGGTCATAATGCAGAATCAAACTCTTGGGCGGAAAGTTATTGATGTTCCCGCACAGTCGCCTCATAGAAAGGTTTAAAACTATCAATCTCAAACTCTCTATCATTATCACTATGAATGGTTAAACTTTCACACATAAATTTTCTTTGTATTAAGGTGGAGAAGGTTCTGTATTCCTTAAATGATTCACTCTTCTATGCTAGGAATCTTACCCAAGTGAATCTAGAATAATCATTTACTATTACAATTCCATATGTCTTCCCTCCTAGGTTGGTTGTACTAACTGGTCCAAAAAAGTCCATGTGAAGAATCTTTAGTGTCCTAGAGGTGTTTGTGTCCTTAATTGAATGAAATGAAGACTTAACTTATTTTCCTAATTGGTTGACATCACATAGGTGGTCCTTAGTGAAGTCTAACTTAGGGATGCCTCTAACTAGATCTTTTTATTAATGTTTCTAAAAGTTTTCACGCTTGCATGACATAGTCTCTTATGCCATAGTTAGGAATCATCAATAATTATTTTCAAACATAGGGAATTAGAATATTTAATGCAGTTCAAATCAAACATGAAAATATTATTTATTCTTTTTTTTTTCTAAAATCAATTTTCCATCTAGGCTAATCATGCATTTTTTCAAAAAGAAACTTTATGTCAAAACCCTTGTCACATAATTCCCTAATAATAAGTAGATTATTCTTAAAGCAGTCAACTAATAAAATATTTTTAATAATAAACTTGTTAGAATTGTTAATTATACCTTTTTTTTTAAGAAAAAAACAATGATTGCATTAAGAACTAAAGAAGCTATTACAGACTAAAACCATAATCTAATTCCTCCTTTAACACTTGCATAAAAGAAGGAAGAATCTTATTTGAAGAAAAATCAAACCAAGTAAAATTGCTAAAAATAATATAGTTACCACATAAGTTTGATAACTTATTACAATCTCTATTTACCCAATTAAAAATAACAAATTTGAGCTCTTTTAAGAATGTAAGATCTTCCTTCAAATTACTTCCCAATTGTTGAAGAGATTTGATAATATTGTAGTTGTCTCCTTCAATAATCAACCCTTTATACTCTTCCATAAAATCTTTTTTTATATATCATAAAATTTGGACGGCCAAAAGCTCAAGTTATGAAATGTCCCAATGAATACAAGAATGTCCATAAGCAAGAATTAATCTTCATTTGCAATCTCGAATTACTCCTCTAACTCCTGCTTTGTATAATTTTAGCAAAGATGCATCCACATTTAATTTTATCCAAATGGGAGGAGGGTACCAACGATCCAACAATCTATACGACTGATTGGATTGCTTTACCACACTTAAAAGCTATCGATGCAAAACTTACAGAATTTAGCCCAATGAACATAGCGCTATCAACCTTCCCTCCATGAACAAATTTTTTCCTAGCCCGCCAATTTAGATATATAGAATTGCAATACACATTGATAATGAACTTGTGTTTGTTAGCATTTATATCCAACCAGTCAAAGATTTCATAAAATGATTGAAAAATAGGAATGTCAAATCCATAAGTGTTAAGATGACTTAATACCTCCCGTAATTTTTCACATTTGACTGAAATATGATCCCAATCCTCTCTATTATTGCATCCTCTCAGGCAAACAAAATCATCCTGCAATCTTCTTTGATATAGAAAATTAAATGTAGGGATCGCATTGAGAAAGAATCTCCACCAAAACACTTCCACTCGAAGGATCAGTTTGAATTTTTTCATCATCTCCCATTGATCACCTAAGTAATCATTCATCACCGAAGCTTTATAAGTAGCAACAGTAATAGAAACACCTGGTTTGAATTGAGTGAGCTCCATTACATCTTCCTCCTTATCCACAAGAATTGCAATCTTATAGATAATGCAAACTAGCTTCTTCCCAAATAAATTATTTAGTTCCTCTACATTCCATCTTCCTTCAATAATTAGCTTTTCCACCTTCAATTCATTATGTTCAGGATTTTCATGAATTTTGGCCATCTGTTTAGACATTTGTCCAAAACCCAAATGTCATTGTAAACATCAATAGATTTACCTGCTCCAACCTTCCATCTGATTATTTGATTAATGGACTTCAAACCACTAGCAATGATTTTAGAAGAAGAGCTGCCTTTACTACCAGTGAAGACTCCATTTTGAATACCATAATTTTCTCCCAGCATTTTGAATAAAAATGAATCTTTATCTTGTGAAATTTTCCATGCTAACTTGGCTCTTAAAGGACCAACCATATACAAGCTTGAACGAAGACCTCTTCCTCCACAACTTATAGGTTTGCATAGATTACTTCACTTTACATAATGTATGCAAAATTTGCCATCATTTTTGTTCCAAATGAAGTTCATATAGATTTTATCCAACTCCTTCAACACACTTTTTAGAACAAGAACTAGTGTACAATAAAAAATTGGGATTGACATGAATATAGTCTTTATGAGATTGAATTTCCCTACTACAGAAATAAGTTTAGTTCCCAAAATGTGAACTAATCTCAAAGCTTTCTCAATAATAAAATGAAAGTCTTCCGCCACCATCCTTCTCAATGCCACCTTAATACCAAGATAATTAAACTGTTTAACTACCTTGACGCCCATAACCTTCTCAATTGATTTTTTCTTC